GGAAACACAAGTGGAACACGTCAACCACCAGAAAAGCAACTCGGCGATGAGCAGCAGCAGCAGCAGCCTGCGGTGCAGGTCACCCATGAACGACACAGTAGAGAGGATAGCGTGGGCACGGATCTTGTGGAATGTGCACACAGTGCCGACGCACGACAGCCCGAAACACTCCAAGAGTACACACACATAGCGCCCGCCACCACGACCTTAAATTCAAAATTAACGACCGTTGGAGACCCCACCGGAACGCCACAGACCCCAAACAAGGCGGCTGGAAATGACAATGCACCCCGCCGCCATCAACCGCCAGCGGTAAACAGACGAGGCCGTTGGAGGAGGTCTATGACGTTGAAGGCCGACAATGTCCATCGCCCATCCCCTGGACCAAGACTGGACCACCTTCCGCCTTCAATTCTCTCTACGCTCGACGCCAACACCCCGTGAATCGTGGATCCTGGCTCCAAAGGACCTCGCGATGTCTCGTGGAGCTGAGGAAGATTTGCCTGCGAAATCCTTGGAGCCCGACGATTTGTCCTCGGAGTGTTTTCACGTTTTCTTTTCGAAAATCGGATCAAAAATCGGCTCGTGGACAGGTGGAATGACGACGAAATCCTTGGAATCGCATCCCCGAGGAGTGCCTAACGACGCTCTTAGTACCGGGGGAGCTTTGGGTGAGCTGGCGGATAGTTTTTTGTTTTTTTATTTTTTTACAAATTCACAAACAGAATCATCCCATTACGAATTTGCAAATCAAGGCCGGGGACCTCACAATTCAACCCGGAATACCGAGAGCATTACTCAGCTTATAGCTTCAAGGACTCTTTGAACCTAATGTTTTGCAGTTCTAGAATCTCAAATTTGTCCTCGTTTTGTAGTAGTGGCGAGTTGGTTTTGGCATCGTCAACAAAATATATAGTATCGTCAAAATTGGTACCTCTCACATTCCTCGAGTCGTGCCCGTTAACGCGCCATGGTTTTAGGAAACGTACGGGCTACTACAGGAGCGCCCAAACTCATCCAACTAGAAATGTTTCCACTCTTTTCTTTCCCGCGGCCGATAGCTGGGCCAAGTACTGGTGGTTTAAGGGGATGCATGTTGGCCCCCTCCCTATTCGGTGATGGTCAGGGAGTAGGGTGGGGCCAGCCGATGGGGGGGTGTGGCGGCTGACACGAAGACCCAAGCACTTTGCCAGTAGCTGCGCCTCCAATCCACTTCCTCCGCCCCCATCGAGTTACAGCAGTGTCTATGGCCAGCACTCTCCCACACACCACACGCAACTCAGACACAACTCACCAGATAGTTGTATCAATTTGACCCAAAACCGGGTGATCTAGCCATAAGCAGGTTGAAGAGGGTCCTAACGGGCCTTGGAGGACCGAACCCACGTATGTGGCAAAATACGGGGATGACTTGTGGCTAGGGGTAAATAAGAATTAACACCATAGATTCAAAAGCATTCAAAGTTTCTTGTTTGAAATCATCGAAACACATCAAAATGGTGCTGGCAGCACCAAACAATTGAAAGATTTTACAAAAATAGGTTTTGAACCACACGCAGGGCCTCACCACACTGCTGCGCCCCCAATCTACTTCCCCCGCCTCCATCGAGTTACAGCAGTGTCTATGGCCAGCACTCTACGCTCACAACTTGCACACACAGGGCCTCACCACACTGCTCCCGAAAATGGCCATTTTCAGGAGTGCATGGTCACCACGCCAGCTTCTGAATTCTTGTTTTTTTTTTTTTTTTTTTTTTTTTTGAAACATCTGCCAGCAGTGATTACTCTGGCTTTCAAAGGATAGACTATGCAGGTTGTTGAAAAACGGAGAAACCTCTTCACCCTGTACCAGGCGCCAGTTATCTACTGCTGAGGGACTACAGTCTTCCCCCGAATACAACGTACGGTCATTATAGCTGAATTTAGACTGAAATATTCACCAAATTCAGCTATAATGACCGTTGTATTCGGGGGAAGACTGTAGTTCCTTCCTCTCCCAACTACCATTTACCCGAGAATATTTACCACCTCATTTATTTGTCTCCTAATCCTTAAACCCTTTCCCCACGTGTACCTCAATCTTTCTGTCCTGGGATAACCTTCATTTCTTCCTCTACCAACTATCTTTTACCCAAGACGATTTACCACCTCATTTGATGTGAATATGTTCATTTCCGGGTTGTTTGTGAGGAATTCCGGCCTCATGTTCTCATGATAATGGAGTCCTTGATTTTTCCCAAAAAGGAGTTCAACTTGTCAGGTTGAATTCGGGGGCTGTCAGAATGCGGCTCCCGAGAGCACTGACCTGCAAAGGATCATTTTCAGGAGTGCCTGCAAACGAGCATTTTCGGGAGACCTCCACTGGGCGGTCCATTTTGGGTGGAAATTTGGAGGGGCGGCCTGGGCGGACGAGCCTCTGCTGCAGCTCTTCGGTCATACTGCTTCACACAGAACGTGTTGGGATGTGCTGTCATTTTCAGACTTTGAGAGTGCAGTGTGGCGAAAGGCAATCCCAAACGGGATTTCATGCTCGGGAGCACCCCCAGACCCTACCAATACCGAGCAGGGGGAGCAAGTCAACTGTCGCAGTTGGTTGGCACCAAGAGTGCGGCAGGTTGTCAGTGGGGATTGAACCCACGACCTCCTGAATGCCACTTGCGTGCCTAACCAACTTAGCTAGGCCGCTTGTGCATTTGCATACGGAGAAAAGGTCCGAGAAATATATTTAAAAAAAAGATAAAAAAACATTGCAGCCAACAGTTGTTTGATTTCCACGGTTCCAATTCATTTTTTTTCATTCATTGATTGAACGGTTGATTAAAAAAAAAAAAAAATCAGGAGAGAATCCATGGGATGGGCATACAACATCCGGGGGAACTCCGCTTTAGAACAATCCAGGACTTTGGTTCCTACTCATCAGCCATTCCACAAAAAAAAACGGGCCTCGCCACACCGCAAACAAAATGGGTGCATCTGCGCACAAAAGGTGGCAAAAAAAGGTTGCACTTCCTCGGAGGCTCTTCTGAAAACGTGCTACACAGGGGTACACAGGGGTTGGCCTCGCTCCACTACTCTCCACATGCACAAAAGACAAACAATATGGCCGTGTACCTTTCCATGTTCTAGCACAAGATTCAGTCTCATTTCGAACATTCCGGGAGTAGTGGATGGAGCGAGGCCCTTAGCTAGGAGACTACGAGGAGCTTACCGGGAACTAACTACGTCAGTGAAGGGTTCTTCCGAAGCAAATTGCTCCAGGGATACTTAGAGCATACTCACACTAGGCCCTCAAAAATCACAAAATCACAAAATGAGCTGCCAAATCGAGTCCTCCTTTCACAAGGACTCAAATCTGGCCCCTCATTTTGCCGTTTTGCAATTCTGAGGGCCTACCAGTTTGAGGGCATCTCCACACCACTCCCGAAATGTGCAAACTTCCCGGCAGATGCAGTCAAGTTCTCTTGATCCAGTCTGTATTCATTCTGGAGCCTCCCCCTGGCCTTGTCTGCAGGGGTGTTTTCCAAAAAAAAAAAAAAAAAAACAAGAAAACATGGCCAGATGCACCCGCCACATTTTTGTCTTTTTCACATTTCCATTCCAGAGTGGTGTGGCGAGGCCCTTAGTGTAGGTAGGACCTACCCGTCACCTCGGAGTTGTGTTTTTTTGAGAGGGGTGGGGTGGGGGTTTTGGGGGCGATGGCCTTTTTTTAATTTATTTATTTATCCCCGATGACGGCATTGGGATATCATCATTGAACTGACCAAGGCCAGGTAAGTCACAATGATTATATTTATTCTGCTCATCTGAAGGTATCTGGATTGGAACTTGGGTGTATATTTCAACAGTGCATGGGTGTACCGACTGAGCTACTGTAGGCCCGGTGGTACCTCGGAGTTCAGACTTACCATCGTCCACCTAGCGGGATGTGGCTTGACCACCATAGCCCAGGCTATGGTCTGGCATGTTGCTGACATCGGCATCTCGCTCTCCATTCCAATCCAATCCAATACGACATCAGGCAGAGGGATTCTCTCTCTCTCTCTCTCTCTCTCTCTCTCTCTCTCTCTCTCTCTCTCTCTCTCTCTCTCTCTCTCTCTCTCTGTGTGTGTGTGTGTGTGTG